GCCTCAATTATGAAGATTGGAGACAATAAGAATAAGAGAGTTGGGTCTACCTCTTCTGCCATTAGTGGGGTCACATTTGCTGGATCATCAAGTGGAATAACTGTGACTAGAAAGAAATTTGTGACCAAGATGAAGTCCATGAAGAAGAGACTGGTTCAAATTCATGAAGAGACCCATTCAAGCTTAGAGGCTGATCAAGACTGGGTCAAATACATGAATTGTACATGATGGATAGATGAATAAGTATGAAGGGAATTGATTCAACTTTATTTTCTTGTCCTTGTATTTGGACATGTTTTTTTCTTCTTAATTAGTAAGAGCTCTTAAGACTGGTTTGTATAATTGAATAATGCTTGTGCATCTTATGATGTTGATTCTAGTTGTTCTACTAATGATTTGGTTGTGTATGTTCTAACATACTAACCTCTATGTGACTGGCCTCTAACTTCTAGTTATAAGAATTAACCATTTATCAAATTATGGAAAAGAGGGGGAATAGTTGTGTGCTATGATCTCTGTTAGTGAGACTAACTAACAGGTAACAATTAATTGTTTAGTGCTAACCATATTGGTAAGTACTAATGATGTGTGCTCACATATTAGAGTATAAGGTAAGATATCTGGCCCTATTAAAGGTAGCTTTTGTGTTAGTAGGTTCTTAAATATCCTTATACTGACTACTAAATGTTTGTGTTATGCATGGCTAAGTATGTGAATGATTGCATGCTAATAATTATTAGTTGGTGAGATTGTATGATACTAACTATATGCTGACTGGGTACATGCATGACTAAGTCTGCGAATGATTACATTATTGATTCATTATTTGTTTAGTTTGGAGCAACTGAATTTGTGTGTAAGTATATGAATGTTGATGCAACTGACTTCTACTATTGTTGGTGGTGCTTAACTTTGACGATTAGAAGAAAGTTGTTGATGTTGACTGTATGCTCTAATAGTCTAGTATTTCTACTGGTTGTCACTTGTTATGTTATGAAAAAGTGATATATCTTGAAGAGTTGTTTTGCCACAATTTTCCAAAAGGGGAGATTGAAGTTCCTTGTGGAATGACTCTTTGGATTGGCTGCATTTTGCAAAACAACAACATGAATAAGTGTTCAAAGTTTTCAAGATAATATATCTTGCTTAAGAAGTATAGAGGTATAGAAGGGACACGTGTTGGATACGGTGTCTTAGCATATTGCTACGACATCTGGGCCTTGTGCAACATGTCATTGTTGCTGCATTTTGGAAGAATATATGGACAAACGTTGGATCATATTTTATTGCTATTAGTTTAACAATATAATTAAGTGATTTGTTTGACAACTCGAAGAAGAGATATTCAGATTTAAATTTGAATTTAAATTGAAATATATCATATCTTGTTGGAGAGATTTCTGAAACAAATAATATCCAACAGATTCTACATTATTTCTGGACGAAATAAAATCAAATATCCATGAAGAAAAACCCATAATTATTATGCTATATAAAAGTCTCAAACCTACATTAAAATTCAAGCATTCACATTTAAGATATTAGAGTGTTAGGTTTACAAGAGTTCTTGTTATTTTATGTACAACACTATGTTTCAGTAACTTGGCATAGTAGGTTTGTCTAGTTGAGTTGTAAGACTAAGTATCACTCATAATTTAGATTAAAGTTGCTCACTGGGGTTTAATGATTGTAATTCAAACACTAGGGGTTAGTGTTTGAGAAACAGAAAGTGATATGGTATCTCATATTTAAGGGGAGTCCTAAATAGATATTTATTGGGTAGTGTTAGAAAAAGGCATTGAACAACATATAATTTGTTGTTACTTGTAAGATTAACTGTACTAAACTACTAATAGTGAATTTCCTTTCTTAGGTTGAAAGTTAACCCTACAAACGTAGGTGCAAGTTGTATCAAAATGGGTTATCAATTGAGTGTGTTATTTATTTCTTTTCTGCTTCATCATCTTGTACTAGTTTGATTGTACTGTGGTGGTTTTGGTTTATCTTGACAAACTAGTTGTCAAAACATCATGTGCGACATCTGTTCCATGAGGTACAAACATTCAAGTTGCCTCACATGAGGAGTTATCACAATGTCAGTATATTAGTGGTGTTGAGTTCGGAGACTGAAGATGGTTGGGTCATTCATGTTTCTCTTGTCATATGTGTTCTAGAAAAAATACTTTAAAACTTTAAAGCTAGAACAAGGTGGAGTAGTTCTCCTTGGAGACAAAATAGATTTCAAGGTTTATGATATTGGTAAAATTATATTTAAAATGTTTGATGTTCGTGATAGGGAAGGGATGGATATTAGACCATTTCAAAGGGAAAATTATGGTGGTCTTGAGAATTATGCTTTGGATGTAGCTAAAGGGTTTCAAAACTCGTAAACATGAACCTTCAAAGAGGAATTCAAAAGCAAGGAAAGTCGAATATAGTTAAAGAACCATGCTTTTGGATTTGTTAGATTACCTAAGAAAAATTGTTGATAGGAAGAAAGTGGATGAAAGTGAAAAGATCAAAGTTCAAATACAGTTTGAATTTGCTCAAGGTTATTGAATAGTGATTCAACATGGTATAGAGCAACAAGGTGGTTGATAGATAACTTAACATCACATCACTTTCAAGTCAACGTGGAGATTGTAAAAGTATTCCTTAAAACATTTGAGTGATGGAAGAGAAATAACATGTTTCGAGATTGCTACCATTCTTGTTTTCACATCTTTTAAAATGTTAGAGTCGGAGACAGACAGAAGAATTTGTAAATCTTATTCATAATTTTAGAGACAAAGATAAATTTTTAAGAGTGTGTTCTTGGAATTTGAGATACATTTGGAGTATGTAAGGGATTGAGAAACACTTATAAACACCTTGTGCTTGAGTGATTTATATATTGAGAGTTAGAGAAATTGATAAATATTTAAGTAGAAATATGACTTTGTTTGTTGCAATTCAAAATATATTTTTCTTGTAACTCATTTGTAATCTCTTATAACAATTTTTAGAAGTATAATGAATCGAAAAGCTGCACTCTTCTCAAAAATAGATCGTTTGATTGAATTAAGTAAATAAATCATCTTGTCTTTTATTTTCTTCTACTTTGTTGTGGTTTTGCTTTCATTTTTTTTACAGATTATTATATAGTTTTATGCCATTTATTTTAATTGTCACTGTTTTTTATCTGCACATATTAAATTTCGTTGTGTGTTTAAATTCTAAATAATTCTTTTAATTATTTTGAGTAATTCTATCAACTTTTAACAATAGAATTTAACTTGTAATTAGACTTATAAACATGTGTCTAAAACATCTCTTATTAAATTTGAGGCTCTTTGTCTTGGATGCTATCAAAACCTAATTAATATTTCTTATTAAATGTGAAGCTCTTTGTCCCTGGATGTTATCAACAAACCTAATTAATATTTCTTATTAAATGTGAGGCTCTTTGTCCCTTGATGTTATCAACTTGGATGCTATCAAAGTCTAATCAATTATATATAGATTAAATACATCAATTATTTAATAAATTTAATTTTTTTATAATAATAATAGTAGTAATAATAATAATAATATTTATTAATAATCCATTTAATTATAAATATAAATTATAATACTACTCAATCAAACCTAACCAAATAGTTAAGAGCCATTGGGTATGTATTCTCTTTATTCCTTTTTTAAGTGTCATTTTTGGAGTAAATTTTTGTTTATTTATAATTGTTACTTACTGGTTATTTTTAATTGTTACTTCCGAAATTTAATGTAATATTAATAAAAAAAGTCAAATACATATAATAAATAATTAAAAATATTTTATATAAATTTAAAAAATAACAACAATGATTATCTTTAGTATATGAAAAAAATTTAAATGTGACAATTATTATGTGACAATTATAAAAGAAAAGAATAGAGGGAGTAGCACTTGTGGCGTCTCATATTGATTAAATGTAATTCTACTTCATTAATAAAGTAAAAACAATATTACATAAAAAAGGAATTTAAGAAAGGAGGAGGAGGACGTAAAAGTTAGTGGGGGTTATTATAAAAAATAAAAAAAAAGATGGAGAGGTGATGTCAAATATCATCATCAGTGTTGTACAAAGTGGGAGGTAACATGCCACATGGGTCCATTACATTGTGTCGAATAAGCATGTCTTTTGTTTTTGGCACTTTCGGCAACACTTTATACAGAAAGTAGAGTGGAGTTAAGTTACCTTATTGTTATGCATCAACTTCTATATATAAATTGATTACTTTCACAAAACAATCTACCGTAAATCACTTCTTAAAAAAATAACCTTCAAAACCTTGCATCCAAAAAAAAGTCTAGGGTAAAAACTGCTTAAATTTACCATACATGCAAAAATTCTAACATAACATCCACAGTACCATGACAGGATAGCCTGTGCATGTACAGCTCTGTGGTGAACTGTGAACTGACTGAGATTAAGATCTAAAAAACCAATAAATTATGGATTCTCAGAAATTCAGTAACCAGACAGACATGATATCACGTGTTATGATTTATCTCTATCTATCTATGCTTCGAAACACTTTTGAGTATCATAAGACCTACCAAGAAAAATACTTGCCGTGACACATTTGAGTTTCTCTTTCAGAACTACACACAAGTATTGCCTCAAAATAGTTCAACTGCAAAATCTCATCATCATGATGATCATAAACACATGCACACACAACCTAGCTATAGCTCCCCGATTTAACAACCATTAGCTAGGTTTTAATACTCGGTCACGTAAAGGTTTTCGAGATTACGATCAATATCGGCATCTGCCAGCCGACTATTTTTTAAAACCCTGACAATTAACAAAATGAAAAGGAAAATCATAAAATATTTTGGTTCAAGGAATTGAGAAGATAATCAATACTAAGTAGGTATATTAGCATTTATCAAATTCTTGTTGCAAAAGTGAGATTGAAACTGAGACAAATAATAATAATAATAATTAAATGACAGATGCGAAAATTAAATGTTATTAACTCGGCGGTGGGAAGGCGGAGGCGGAGGCCGCTGAAGAAGAAGCACCGGCGAGGAAATCAGCTAGAGCTGCCATGGCTCGGACTTGCATCTCAAGAGCCGGAATATAATCAATAACTTCTGTAAGAATAACCGGTAAAGGTTCTTTCCTACAACCTGGAACCAACCGGGCCAGGACTTTAACTTTTCTCTGAACCGCTGGGAGGGTTTTTCCCTTTAGACGCAAAACAGCGAACCGGGCTTTTTTAGACCGGGATGGACCGACGGTTCTCTGTTGATGATGTCTCTTCTGTTTTCTAAACTTGAGCTTTAGTTTGTTGGTGAGTATGGCCCGGCTCCACCGGGTTTTTCCTTTGGCTGCGACGGCGAGAACTCTATCGGCGGCTTCCCGGACGGCCTTCCCGCGGCGAGGAACGGTGCCGGAGAGGTTGACTCTGGCTAAAGCCTGGTGTAGTTTGGAAGAGTAGATTTGCTGTTGAGCTTGTGATCTCCATTTGGTTATTCTTTGTTCTTGTTCTTGGGCATGTTGTTGGATTTTTGATAGGGCTTTCTTCTTTTTCTTTATTCTGTGTGATCGGTCACTTGTTGAGTTTGAGATCATAGGTGATGACATGTTCCGATGACAAATCTGAAATTTCACAAAGGAAAAAAAGAGAGAGAAAAAATGAAAAAGCGATATGTTTGGTTTGGGAACTCAATTTATGGAAAAAGGAGTGTTGGAAAGTTTGTGTATATTTTTGTGGTTTTCTATATGTGGGAGAGAATGAAATTTTTTGGATTCAGATGGATTCGAATGAAAGAAGGGAAGTTACGGTTAGATTAGATTAGATTCTAGAAAGAGAAATTGATGAAGTGAGTGAAATTTTTGAGAGACGGTGGTGTTGAAGGTGGAGAACGGAACGGGGGTAGATAGGAGAGGGAGGGGAAGGGTGAGTGGGTGGGTGAGGTGTCCCTTCACTAATTTGGAGGTTGAGTTGAAGGGAGAGAGAGATGGTGGACAAGGCTTTATATAAAGGAATCACAAGTTCACAACCCCACCTAAGGTGTCCTTTTCCATTCTTTTTATTAACTAAATATAATCCATAAATGTTATCCAAAAGTTTAAAAAATAAAATTAATAAAAAAATGTTATTAACAAATGCCATTGAAACATTTCATTTAACTACCTTTAAGAGGATTAGTGTGGGACTTGAATTCAAAGTCTTTAGATCAAAGACTTGTCTTCTTATTACTGGATCAAATTTTTGAATTTAAATGTACTTTAAATATTGATTAAAGTAGAAGTGCATAAAACATTGTATGTCATGTTAATTCTTTTTATTGGGTTTTTGAATTGGGCCAAATCAGTTATCATATTTATTGGACTGAATAAATTTCATATGGTGATATATTTTTCGTGCTAATTTTTATGCACATCTTGCTTTATATTAACTTGAGTATCATAGTGTTTTTTAGTACATCAACATCATTGATTGTCATTTTTGTCTCTGATCTCTATTGAAAAATCCACTCAATGACCAATCTTTCCATCGATCCGACATCATTGAATGATATCTTATCTCTAATTTCCATACAAAATTGAATCATCGACCTCTAACACTGACTAGTCAATTGATATTATTTCGTTCAAGAACCACAAATGAATACAGTTGGAGAACTGATAATCTTAAACACCAACGCGAGGTGGACCTACACGGTTAACACTCCAACGCTCAAGTCAGTTCAAGATTCAAGATGAGTGTAGTGAAAGTGGATATCAGAGAATGTATCTTGCTCTTGTGCGTGAACTGATATCATATCTTGGGTCAAGTGGAATGGATTTGAGATGAATTGGACCTTGGCTATTTGGCCCTTTGGCAGGCCTAAAACAGTTGGCCCCAAGACTTTTGTTGAGCTCTGAAGGAGCCGTGAGAAGCCTTAAGTGATGTTGGTTGGCCTCAAGGATGTTTTTCGATGTAAAATAGGAGGAATTGAGTGTTTGAAAGTTTTCGCAACCCTTGGCTTCCAAACTTACGACCATTTTCCTAGAAAATGTCTTTGTTTCTTCTTCCCTGAGAATATTAATAGAAGCGATCTCCAATTCCTTGCTCAATTTTTTTTCTTCTTTTCTTCCTCTTCATCAATCTCACATAACTAGGTACCATACTAAACTCGAGCTTTTTTCTTCAGCATTTTCTATTTCCTAGCCAGGATAAGTTATAGTACGGTTGACCTAGTGAGAGGTTCTTAAGGAAAACTTTGTCTGCCTCTATAATGGGGGGCATTCCATGATTCACATCTCCCCCCTTTTAACCGTAATCCACTGGAACCAAAAATCATACATGGAGATTGTGACTCAAAAAGGGTATTTTGGAATTCCTTGGAGGAAGGAACTTCTTCACCCGGCTCATTAGAATCCTTTTATCAAATATTTTCAGGGAAGTTAATCGCGTTGAGATCCCTATGCCCTCTCCATTCTTAACTAAGAAGGAGATACAAGCCAACTGGTAGAGGAGATAACACATTAGGGATTATATTTAACTTTAACTAAAGACCGATAACTTGGAGCCCAACGATGCAGAAGTGAAGGAATACTTTGATCTTTAAGACCATCCGAAAGCAGGAGAGCATGACTAGATGTATTCAAAAGTAGAGGAAACTTCATTTTTTATTAGCACCGAGGTCGTCAAAGATCCACTGGAATTATAGTCGGTGATCCCCTAGAATGTTCGATTCTTCCAGCAGGGGTGGGAAAGAGGATATGAAGTTCCTTTGAAGATTGTGTGATTCTGCTCTACGGGTGTCTGTTCACGAGAAGAGGATTATGGTTGCATTTTTCTGACATTGCACGAGAAAATTCATAACCTAGTCAATTTTAATCGGATCAGGCTCATATTTTTACACGAAATCACTGACTCATAGATCTAGAACTTTTCTTCCAAAGTCAAGTCCGGATTATGCTCTGAAAAGTAATAGTTTTTTATTGAAAAGTTGTTTGTGTCTGGCTGACGAGAAAACAAGTGTTAAAGGATTTTATGTCGATGACTTGATGTTCAAAAATTCATATCTCACTCGTCTTTCATAGGATTGAGTTCATATTTTGACACAAGGTCTCTATTGACACCAGCTACATTTTTGTTCACACCCCGACTTCGAATTTCGCACCGAGCTCCCTGCGAATTTGAACTGAAGCTTTTCAGACACTGATGAATTAAATATATGCACTATAGTTTGTGGTTGTTTGAAGCTCATTAACCAAATCCACTCATATTAGTTCATACTATATATTCTAATCCACACCAATTTCTCTCATAACAACATAATTTCATTTTCTCTCTCACAAACACTCTCAAATCACTCTCACATTCTCTCTAAGATCAAAAATAGAAAAATATCAAACTCATCATCATTCATCATCACCTTCAAGCCTCTCATAACAACACAACAACACAAAAATCAAAGAAAAGAAAACTCCTCCTCCCTCAAGAAGAAGAAGCCATTGTCAGACTCCTCTCTATCCACTAACTTCTGGCCATCGCACCGCCCTCTGGCCTCCTTCTTGCTGGCGTATACTCCCTCTATTTTCCTCTCTTCTTCGCATGATCTCCTCTCTTCTTTCCTCTCCTCATCGCAACATCACCTTCTCCAACACTTAAATTCTCCTTAAATTTTCTCTTTCAAGCTTCAATAGGTAACAATCCTTGCACGTGAATTCTTGATAATTGATGTGTGATACTTTGATTATTGTGAATTGAAGTGAATTGTGATTATGTGATTTTCTTAGATCTTGAATGTAATTCATTGAATTGGAAGAGATTTGAACTAGATTTTTCTTATAGTATAAGTGTTTGATAAAATGCTTAGATGAAAGTTTGAGTTCAAGAATTGTGATATTTGTTGTGAACTTGTGATTCTTGAATTGTGTTGGATTTGTTGATTCTTGAATTAACACTAAGTTGTGTAGAATTTTGGTGCACATGAGGTGTTTATAAATACGCCTAGTGTTATATTTTGGTTCAAGAATAGGAAGGAGTTAACATTGCATGAATTGATTTGAGAATTAAGTATTGTTGATTTCATGGGTTGATTATTTTTGTGGTTTATGTGATTCTTGAGTTGTAAACCTTGAAGGGATGTGGTGTCTGATGATTGTTATAGAATTGGGTGTGGTTCTTGAATTTTTAATCGTTGCATCAAGTTTGATTTCAATTATGTCAATTGTTGTTATTTATGTGAATCATGTTGCTTGTTTGTTTATGTTGAGATTTGACATCACTCTCATTAGTTGGTATAAGTTGTATTAGTTTATACCCCAAAGTTTTCAACATTAAAACACCAAACCAATACAAGTTATGTTAACTTTGGAAAGTCTATTTGTGCAAGCTATATGTGGTTTAATTCTCAAGTTTTTGCCTCTCTAAAATCACAATTTCAATACAAAAAATCATAAAGTTGAGAGATAAACCAACATTTGCAATTTGTGTATTTTCACTCTTTTTCATGAAATTTTGAACTCTTATTCGAAGCTTAATCGTTAATGTTTGGAATATGCGTGTCGCATGTTTATATACCTTTTAAAACTAATTTCCGCGTTTTTGGATCGAAATTTCGGTCGTTTAGACCACTTTACCGCAGTTCTATCCTGCACTATAAAATTGCCTAAATGGAGCACCTACCCTTGGAATTAATTCACTAGACCTATTTTTCTGAAACCATTGGCCCGTTTGTAAGCTACCGAGCAATTTTCATGAGATTCCGAGCATATTTTTTACAGCTTTTACAAATGACTGTGCGCGAATGTCATGCTTCCACTATGTTTTTGTCCGAACCGATTACAGATTTGGATCCCTTGGCACATTTATAGGTTAATATGTAAATTTCGTTCCATTTCGAGCAACTTTTTTGGACACCTAATTTCATAAAACGCGTTTTAATCGTTTAATGCAGAATTTTGATTTTGTTCTTAGTGCATATTTTTTACACTTCTATGTACATAATTTCATTGTTATAATCTTTATTTGTTGTGTACTCTTGTGTGATATTTCAATTGGTGATTATCGGATTGATTTTTGACGCGGTTTCAATACCGTTTTCCTTGTTATCTTTTGATGCGTTTGTTCATTGTACAAGGTACATTCTATTGTATTTGATCATGTCACACAATATTGGTTATTTGATTAAAACTTGTGGCTATTTCTTTCTTCCGACGCGACACGCCTTGTTTCTCATTTCATGAGAAATGCCCTTTATTCACACTTGTTGTATATTGTCTAGATATGTATGACACTTTATGCAGGAACTCTGATCTGCCGTGCATCCGTGTCATGCCTTTTAGTATTCGTTTAGTTGGATATCATTTCTGACTATGTTTGTTTTTTGGTGAAGCTTGCTTGACGTATTCCCTGTTTCTCCATTGCTTTCTTCCGTTATTAACGAATTCACGTTCGATTGATAGCGGCCGCAGGTGCTTTCTCTTTCTTGCATTTTTATTGCATTTCTTTATTGTTTTCCTTGCCATGAGAAGTAGGATAGAGATGTATGACGGGGGTCTTCGATGCTGATCATGTCAGGAACTCCTCTGGTTTATTTAAAGACCAGTTTAGGGCAATTTCACATTATGTGCCATTGTATGCT